TTCTTCATAATGATTATTACACCATTTCTCTTTATATTTTTCGCTTTTTATACCCTGCACTTCGTGAAGGGTATATTAACTTTGGTATGGAGTTTGTAACTACTTGAAGGAGTCATCTGCGGTATGGACATATATATATATTCTTGCTCAGCGTAAAATTCTGCGTCGATTTAGACATGTCCGTCCGTCCGTCCGTCCGTCCGTCCGTCCGTCCGTCCGTCCGTCCGTCCGTCCGTCCGTCCGTCCGTCCGTCCGTCCGTCCGTCCGTCCGTCCGATCGCACGATAACTCAAAAACCAATAATGCAATCGACACCAAACTTTCACAAGTTTTTTCTTTTGTGCCAAGGACGAACCCTATTGTTATTGGACTAAATCGGACAACGGGTTCGGGTAGCTGCCATACAACTCCAAGAGTTTATTTTAAATATTTCAAAAACTAATAAAGCTATAAATATAAAATTTTGTATACATGTGTCCAATTATATTCTACACATGCTCTAAAAATTATAATGGGATAGCTGCACCGGTTCGGGTGGCTGCCATACAACTCCAACAGCAAATTTTTTATATTCGGCAAAATAATAAAGTCAGATTCATGAAACTTGGCAGTTGTGTGTCCGATTATAGATCAGATATATTTGTGAAGTTTTAGTGGAATTGCTTGACAGGTTCGGGTACTTGCCATACAACCCCAAAAGCTTATTTTAAAAATTTGGAAAAATAATAAAGTCAAATTCATGAGACTTGGCAGTCGTGTGTCCAATTATGGGTCAGACATATTTCTAAAGTTTTGGTGCGATTGCTTGACAGGTTCGAGTAGCTCCCATACAAGTCTAAAAGCTTATTCTTAATATTTGGAAAAATAATAAAGTCCGATTCATGAAACTTGGCAGTCATGTGTCCAATTATGGGTCAGACATATTTCCGAAGTTTTGGAGGAATTTCTTGACAGGTTCGGGTACCTGCCATACAACTCCATAAGCTAATTTTAAATATTTGGAAAAAGAATAAAGTCAGATTCATGAAACTTGGCAGTTGTGTGTCCGATTATAGATCAGATATATTTGTGAAGTTTTAGTGGAATTGCTTGACAGGTTCGGGTACTTCCTATACAACCCCAAAAGCTTATTTTAAATATTTGGAAAAATAATAAAGTCAAATTCATGAGACTTGGCAGTCGTGTGTCCAATTATGGGTCAGACATATTTCTAAAGTTTTGGTGCGATTGCTTGACAGGTTCGAGTAGCTCCCATACAAGTCTAAAAGCTAATTTTAAATATTTGGAAAAATAATAAAGTCAGATTCATGAAACTTGGCAGTTGTGTGTCCGATTATAGATCAGATATATTTGTGAAGTTTTGATGGAATTGCTTGACAGGTTTAGGTACTTACCATACAACTCCAAAAGCTAATTTTAAATATTTTGAAAAATTATAAGGTCAGATTGATGAAACTTGGCAGTCGGATGTCCAATTTTAGGTCAGACATGTCCGTGAAGTTTCTATAGAATGATCTCACAGGTTCGAGTACTTGCTACACAATAACGAAAGGTGCAGGGTATAATTCAATCGGTTTATACCGACTGAAACGTTTTTACTTGTTTAACTTCTTTTGTTTTCAAAAATAACTTTGTTTTATTGGATTGTTGTCTGTCATTATTAAGTAAAAAAAAAAACGAAAATAAAAACCTTTTTTTCATTTTTCTTTTTCTTTTTATTCTTATTTTACTTTTTGAATATTGTTATACCGTCCATTAAAATATTTCTTTTTTGTTTTTTTTTTTGTTATTTATGTTCTCTATATTATATTCCATCATTTTTCTAATAGCTATAAGTAACTTAAGAAACGTCTTACAAAATTCCATTTAATATCAAACACCATCCCTTCTAAAAAAAACTTTTCTTTCCTGTTGTATATTCTAACAAACCTACAGGAAAACAGCTCATTCTTTTCTCTTCTATATTTATAACAAGTTACAAGTTGTAAAATACATAATTTTTCTAATGTGTTTTTAAGTTGACTTTTGAAGACAAGAAACTTAATAGAGAACCAGAAGAAAACAATAATAATTTTCAGGGTATTTAAATATTTATGTATAGATATTATATATATATATATATGTACATATATATATAACATATATAACATATTTTGTATTACAACATACCGTTATAAATTGTAATATATTTGAGTATATGAGAGAATATTCATTATATAGAATGGTATTTTATGGTCTTTAAAATGAGAGAAAAAAAGAAAAGATGATAATAATAATAATGTTTTCTTGTTTGTTTCTTCATTTTCCTATTCTCATTACGTTAACTCTCTCTCTCTCTCTCTCTGTCTCTCCCTCCCATTTTCTACTTATACATTCGACTTATTCTTATTAATAACTTTTCTTTTTGGCATTTCATTTTCTAATTTAAAAGAATCTTTTTAGAGTTGTTTTACGGTACGTGACTTTTGATAAGAATTTATTTTAAAAGGAAAGTTTTTGCATTTTATATCCTTTATATGTTCGTATATTATATGACTCATAAACTTCCATTAATATTCTATGTAGGTACATATGACTGTGTGTGTGTGTTATGCGTAAATATACTTATTATTTTTATAAGTGTGTATTCAAAGTTTTGCATTATTAATTAATTTGAAAACGAAAAAAAAAAAAAAAAAAAGAAAATATTTTCATTTTACAGGTTTGACAATAATATTTTTGTATATTTTTATATGCTACAAAAAAAGCATAAATTTTATATAACATTTTCTAACTTCCCATCACTATGATTTTGTTAGATGAACTAAATTAATATGAAATATTCATTCTAATCTAAATAGCAACAATAAATTGCACAAAAAATAAAATTGCAAATTTTATGCAGTGTATCGTTTTAATCATATTATGCATAACGAAAGCAAGTTCTTAAATATTCTGAGCGACAAGAGGAATTGAATTTTTGCTCATTATTTGTAGATGTTCGAAATAATTTTGAAAATTATATTTGCAATATTATGTGGCTTACGCCCTAAAAAATTTTTATTTTATAACAATGCATATTTTCCTAACACAATTCAACTTTAATATTTATCATACATAATATGTAGGTAATTTTAAAGGGAAGCCTTTACGCGCTATTATTTAAATCAGAATTTCATTAAATAATAATAATCATATTATTATATTTTCTAAATGTAAAAAAAAAAAATTCTAGAAAAGTGATTTTGTATACAAAAAGAGCTTCCGTTTATCATCATCAATGTCCAATTTTGGGTAGAGATTTGAAAGCGATTTTTTTTACATGTATTGTAAAATTTCATTTACGATATTAACGTTTCTTTAAAAATTTGTAGTGGTGTCAATTAGTGTTTTCGAAATTTTTTATAACTCAAAATTAAATTACTTAACAAATCTAAAGCAGGAAGCAAAATTATATGGAAAATAAATGATTTTCAATGATTAGAAAATATTCGGCCAGTATTAAAGGACAGGGGCTATTTCTTTCTCCAAGCATATATATATAAAATGTCATTAATTAAATTTTTAACAAACTTATAATTGTAAAATAAAACACCAAAGTTTCCCTTTTTAAAGAAATTTCCCCTTATTACTCGTATGAAAACACTGTTAAACTATAAAACAAAATAAATTCGAATGATTGACAAAGCAGCAGTTTTCCCTTGAACAACTGAAAGTACAGTAATTAAAGGAAACCTTAATATAATAGTTATGAATCCGACGGCTAACTAAATGACTTAAATTAAATAATTCTATTGGCAAGACATTTAATGTTGGTTGTCTGCTTTGATAGTTTCAAAAATAGCTACAAGGTGCCAAAAATTAAAATTTTATTAATTTCGGGAAGCGATAATTTAGAAATCCATAGGAAGATAAAACCTATTGGTTTACTCAAGTAAATTATTTCTAAATCCCGCAAAAACTAATAAAATTTCAGACTTCTACAGGTTATCTAAGAGAAAAAAGAGGGTTTGGGCTAACGGTTAATTTCAATAGTCACTTTGCTATTTTAATGTTCAGCTTAACTATTTCGTAGTAGAACAAGTATGCAGAAATACCGCAAAAAATTGCGTTTTTAGGATTTTGAAAAGCTAGAACTTAAAGAGGAGTTAAAAGTAAAAATATTCTTCTTCCGAAATAAATTTTTAGTAAATAACTGTAAGGAGTGGAAAAATTTTATAAATAGACACATAACTACTTAAACTAACAGGAACTTTTTTTTGCAATTTCGTTGGAAAAGTGTTAAAAAGACACCCCTTTTCAAAAAACATTCATAATATTTAAACATTGTTAATTACACCTTTTTAAACAATCTATTGAAAAAGTGAAAATGCATAAATATAAAAAAGAAAAATTTAAAAAGTGAATGATAATGAACTTGTTTTTAAATGTGTAAATGTTCAAAATACGTTCATGTTCCGAGATCTTTTCTATACATTATAATTATTTTAAAACACAAAATGGCTGCTTTTCAAAACTTGAAAGTTCCAAAGCATAAAAATAATTAAATGTATATAATAGTGACATAATTATTCTACACAAGGTTATTTAAAAGTGATGCTAAGTGTTATATACTTAAAAATATAAAAGAGTCATAATAAATAAAAAAGATTATGTTTTATATTAATAAAATAATAATAATATAAAAATATGTTATTATTACAATAATGAATAAATTTTGCAAATGCTCAATGTGTAAATTGTAATAAATATGTAAGTGAATAAAAAAACGAAAAATAAAATATATTTAATAAAAAATTAAATAAATTAAAGCTAAAAACTATTAAAAAATTTTAATTTGCAAATTATTATAATTAATAAATAATGGTGATTATTAAAGGGATTAAAAATTTAAATTATATTTTAAAATTATATTTAAAAAAAAAATAAAAAAAAAATAAAGAGACAAACAAAAAACAAATTTTATGGTCAGCTGAATTTTCTCTCTCTCTAGGTTTTTGTTTTTCTAATATTTAAGCTTACCATGATTGTCGGATTTTAAATAAAGTTTTCCAAGTGGTGTCAAATTCATAGACTTATCATCGGACCTGTCTGTGAATATGATTGTAACGAAACGAGAAAAACAAAATAATTAAAAAAAAATTGTTCATTCTTTCAATAAAATAAACATTTTTTAATTATTTTTTTTTTTTTTGCTCTTATAATATAAAATTTTTTTTAGATGTGTTTATCTTCTTAATGGAATATAATGATGAAAATTTATTTTTTTAATAAAATCATGAAGAAATGCAAGTAAAATTTTTTTCAGTATTTTAATTGGAAGATTTGTGACTCGAAGAAAATTTTATTTCGAATGCAGCTGATTTTGAAAAATCACAAATTTTATATGAATTTTCCAAAAATTCGAAAAAATTGTAGTCAATTTTCGAGTTTTGTTCGCAAAACTTTAAAATATTGTTCGAAAAAATAATTGTAAAATCGGGACTTAGCCAAACAAATTTTAACAGATATTTTAATTTTTAATTATATTAAATTTTTATTTCATTTAATTAGATTTACTTTAACAATAACCACATACCATACAATAAAGAGGGGTTATGTGATGGCATAAAATTTCGCAAGACGAGTTTTCGGCGGATATGCACTCTGCACATTCTCTGTACTGATGAACCGTAATATTAAACTATTTTTAGAGAAATAAAGGTCTGCCGGTTTGTGTGAGGTCTCATGCCTCTCAATTTTGCCTGATTTGATCATATTGTTGGATATATGAGGTCACGTGAACTTTACCTTTCCTACTAACAAATCTTATATTTTTGAACATTTTTAAAAAAAATATTGAACAAATAAATTTAAAATTTTATCATATAAATTTTTTCGGACAGTGAGGCAAGACACAGCTCTTCAAGGAAATCAAATGCAACCAGCTTTTACTACACGGAAAATTTACATTTTTACGCAAATAAGTTTCATTCAAATTTAATATTTGAACTCAGTGTGTTAAAACAATGAATTTTTTAGAAATATAAAAACTACAAATTTTTTAGGAATATCGAGTGTCGGAAGCTGGACTTTCACTAGGCGAAGATTTTACATATTTCACCATATTTTAGAAATTAATTAACAGATTTTGTTAAAATTTAATATTTAAAATCTGTTCGCTACGGGAACTAATTGTGGAACTTTTCAGGGAATTCAGATAGCATATTGAGAACTTCTTCTAACAGCTAAATTTCCAGTTTTCTAGATGTATTAACTTAAAACTCTGCAGTGTTCTTTTTGAACAAAATATTTAAAGAACATTTTCATAACATTCTGCAGCACTTTCGCTGACGATTAATATACACTTTGTTGTCAATCACTTTCATCCAAATCAGAATGCGAAGTAATTTCTTATATTAGTTCTCAAATAAATGTTTCGTAATGTAATAATTAACATATTTGAGCCGATTAACTTAATAATACTGCCCATATTTTCGTCTAGTCACATTCTTCCTGTGAAATGTTCAGATTGGTTTTATAAAAATATGATTTTGTAAACTGATTAGTAAATTAGTGAGATCTGTACAATTTTCTTTATTAATTTCACGTCATCTTGTATCATTCATCTATTATAGATATAATGTAGATAATATGAGTAAAAAAATATTTTTAAATACGCAGATAAAAATTGAAAAGAAATAAAAATTAATAAAATTTTAAAAATTAATAGAAGTACATAATTATATAAGTATATATACAAAATGTTATAAATATATTTTAAAGTGATGTGTAAAATATATTTCAAAAGTGAAAATGATGTGTAAGTGAGAAAGTAAAATTTGTTCTTAACGCGAGTGAAAAAAGTGATTGAATAAATTAAAACGTAACAATAATGATTTTATGACGAGAGAATGAAAATCAATTCAAGGGAGTAAATTACAAAATATGAAAGTGATAATAAATTATACTCTATGGTATTCGTATAGAAACAATGAAATATATTAGAAAAAGTGTGCTGAAGCGCACTTAAATACATAAATATTTGTAAATGTGCATAGATTTAAAAATTTTAAGAATGACTTACAGATTTTTTGTTATAATACAAAAAAAGTGCTACCGTCGATCATTAACAAAATTAAAATTATAGTTTCAGAAGCATTGTTTCGTTGATTGTTAAACAAACATACGTGAAGGGTGAGAATTTTTCTTGTAATGGAAAATGAGTTTGTTAACTTGCATTGAATTTTACAATTGAAAGAAATTCTTTTTGAAGTCTACCCATCGATGCGACTTGCAACACTATTTCAAAGAGAAGGGTTATTGTGTTATAGAAGCTACTAAGCGTATAAAATCGGCAACTCAGTTGTTGCAGTGTAATTAATGCCAAAGGAAATTTAATGAATCAACACATCCTCAAATATGAAAGTCAATAAACTTAGTCGGAAATTAGTTAAGCTGGATTTATAAAATAGAGTAAATTAATGATTATCACATAGACAACTTGTATAAAACGGATATGCTTTCCACATACTTACAACAACTGTACCTGTGTTTAAAAAGCCTTTAAGGAACATTAAGTACAACGACAATATTAATTGCCATTTACAACGCGATGGCAGCAATACCTGACCAGTACTTTATTCACGTAAGCGAAATTCAGGAGTAAATTTCTTGGAAAATTATAAAAGGGTATATTAACTTTGGTATGGAATTTTTAACCACTTAAGGAGTCGTCTGCGGTATCGACATGTATAGTATATTCTTGCCCAGCGTAAAATTCTGCGTTAATTTAAACATGCCAGTCCGTCCGTCCGATCGCACGGTAACTCGAAAACGAATAAGGCAAACGACACTCTATTTTTTCAAGTTCGGGTAGCTGCCATACAACTATAAAAGCAAATTTTATATATGTATTTGGAAAAATAATAAAGTTAGAAACATGAAACTTGGTAGTCTTGTTACAATTATATGCGAAGTTTTTACAGAATGGCTTCACAGATTCGAGTAATTGCTATACAATAATGAAAGATATGCAGGGTATAATTCAATCGTTTTATACCGACTGAAACGTTTTTACCTGTTTTTAATTTATAGTTAAGGAATTTATATTGTTTTGTAAAATTTTCTCGAAAAATTCTTGGTGAATTCAATAAATTTGTTTCCGAAAAACATTTTTAATACAATACGAGTATTAAAAAAATTTTAAAATATTTTTATTTCACTTTGAAAAAATTTAATTAAAATCTTTAAAGAAAAAATGTTTTTAATCAGTTAAATTAAAAAATAAAATCGTTGCTGGCACATAAATTTAGAAACATTATCAAATTGTCGTCTTCATCGCTACACGTCGAAAATTAATTTTTCCATAAATTTCCTTTAAATATTTTCAAACTTCTTACATTTATTTTAGAAAACGTATGTAGACATGAAGTGTTAAAATTAAAAAAAAGAAGCACAAAGCAAAGCAATAATTTTTATTCCTAATGAGATTTTTCTCGCTTTATGTTTAGTGGGGTTACGATTAAAAAGCATGAATTTATTTGGGTCTAGAACGTTTTGTATATTACAAATGGTTGCTTAAAATTAAAAAGGTAGAATTAACTTTAATAAATTAAGTATTTTAAATTAAAATATTTGTAGTCAAACTTTCGTGAATTAAGAAACAAATGGAATTTATGGCAACTTTTGTAATTTTGTTTGTAACCGAACTAAAACAATTCAATTTTTTTTCACTTTTTCAGCAAATATTGGTAGGGTTTGTTAAGCTCCTTGTAGGACTTTAAATTCATTATGCGACATTTAAATTGTTATTTTTGCAACAAACCGTATGGATTAAACCGTATGGATTAGTATATACAAAATGCTATAGCTGTCACATATCTCACCTATATATAAGAATATATCAATCCAAAAAAACGGCGGAAGACTATTGTATTTTCAGTTCCCTTATTGAGTAACGAAATAAAATATTCACAATATGGATTATTTTGTGTATTAAAATGGATGCATTTACATATTTACTAGATAACTGATATTTTATTAATATCTTCTTAAAATTAAATAACACACGTATATAGATTATAGCATAGATCATGCTACACTATAACGATACAAAATCTTCAAACATAAACATTATAAAATTTCTTACTAATTCTTATAAGAATAACTGATTGAAATTTTTTCATACAATTGCAAAACAGGTGGATGACGTACTCAATAGAACGAGTTAAAGGCAAAAAAATTAAAAAATATTCGTGCTTGATATAGACACTCCTGTTATGTACATATTTTTGGGACTACAACTTATTGAGAGAAGAAAATACATGAAATTGTTTTTAAAAGAAACAATAAATTGTTTTAATAAGATTTGTTACGAAATTTCACAATTTTACTTTGAATTTTTTTAAGTAGATAAGCAGCCGGACAAACAGGCAGACAAAATGAAATCTATAAACATTTTTCCTCAAAAAAGTTTTCCAAATGAGATAAGAATTTTATTTTAAATTCGCAATTAAGTTAAGACTTTTGATATATTTTGTAAAAATTATATAAGATGCGGCATATGTTAAGCATTTTCATTAAGATTGTCCATAATTTGTTTTGTATGAAATACGTAAGCATGTCCATATCCTATATTACACCAAATCTAATTATCTAAATACCGGAAACCTTAATTTACGGAACATTCTTTTTTTTATACTGTTCAAATATACTCGAAAATCTTTATTCCACAGGTATAGTACTTTCATAATATTGAGAAACACCTAAAACTCTAAAAAGCCTCGCCATAGAATAAAATTTTTATAACTTTGGTGTTGTCAACAATTTTACATTTAAATCTTTCGAAAAGTAGTTGTTTTCATTTTCTTTATTTTCTATATTCTTTTCTCTTTATAGTAGTAGATACATTAAACAGTTCTAATATCACAAAGGATAAAATTTTAGTTTGCATTTCAAATAAGTTTAAAAAGCGGATTATGTGTGTGTTGTTTCTTCACGAAAACTTGCATATTTAATCCGCTACCAAAGCAAATCTAAAGTGATTTATGTTAGAAAAAAAAAATTCACGAAAGATTCAAGTTTATTTTTTTTGTTTTTGTGAATTCTAAAAGGTAAGACAAAATAATTTTAAATCCTTTTGGACAGTTCTTTTGGGATTATAATGAATTTTTTTTTTGTTTTTGAAATCTCAAAAGTGGTTTAAGTGCTTAATAATTTGTTTGCAGATTTTGTCCTCAAAAAAGAATATTAAATTGACCGTGTTAAAGAATTGTAATGAAGATTTACAAAGAGTAAAACTTAGAGGTTATGTAAATTGAAATTTTAAAGATTTTTGTGTTTTAATAGTTTTCATTCAAAACTTGTGGTATATCAAAGACATGACTTACTTTCAAAGACTTTTTACTAACATAATTTTGATATCATTAAGATTTAACAAAAATATCCTAATATTTCTGTTTAACTGGTTGGCTGGTTTCTCCTAACATTCAATTTTGTCAACACGTTGAAAAATTTTAGAGTAAAATATTTAAAAATTAATATTATTTTATGAGCGGACAAAGAAAAGAAGCAGTAAAAATTAAGAAAAAATTAAAATTAAAAATTATTCACATAAATAACAAGTAAAAATTAATTGAAAATATTTTAGAAATTTACAATACACAATTAACAATCATACACACAAAAAAAAATATTATAAAGATATATTTAAAATGGGAACAGTTATGAATTATAATTAATATAACAGTTTTTTTTATATACAATGATTTAATTTACAAAAAAAATAATTTTAACTAAAATATAAAAACTATAAAAAACAAAAACATACCATTAGTTTCAATTGATTCACGGCCACCCGGTAATTGTATAGCTGATCCGAATCCACCAAGTTTAACTGGCGCTGAATTATCTGCTGTTGCTAAGAGAGCGCACGCTGGTCGAACATCACGATGTAAAATATCATTTTCATGACAATATCTTAATGCTTCTAATATTTGCCGCATGTAATGACTAAAAATATTGAATTGAAAAATATTTTGATAAAAAATTTAAGGATACGGGGAAAAAAATATAATTTCTTTAATTGGAAAAGAATTATAATTTTGTACAATTTATAATTGTTATACAGATCACAATTGAGTACAATATCATTTTCTTACATTCAGTTATATCAAATGCCGTCACATGTCCAATTTATTATTTTTTAAAACGCTTTAAGTCAAAAAACACATCTTATAGTGGAATTTCAAAATAATTTGAATTATTTTTTTATGGCAACATAAGGTTAACTTCATTCTATTTTGATCTTCTATAATTCTATATGAAAATAGTAATAAATGCCCAAGTAAATCTTGAAATATCCTTTTTTTTTCAAAGTTCATTTCTAAATTCTTTTCAGACTAGTGAATCCAGAATTCAATTTCTTACATCTATTATATTATGCTTTTTTCTTTATGCCACAGTATTAAAGAGAAACTAATATATGAATCTTTAACTTTTTCTCTTTTCCCATGATTGGAAAAAATTCAGTTGAAAGAAAAGGAGAATAAAAATTTTTTCAAGAAGGTACCCACATATTTATTTTTCAACCCTAATTTAAACAAGGATACAAGGAAGCAATTTGTAGATAGAAGAAATTTTTTCTTTTTTTATGTGTTATATTGAATAGTAACGATAAATCACAGAAATAAGCAAGAGATAATAAATTAAAATCTGTTTCATATTTTGAGAGCTCGTAGGATTTTTCGCTTGTTGAAAACACTTTATACATGGAAGCATTTTAGTTTAATTCTTTTATTAAACATTTTTTTTCTGGAAATTTTATGAAATCTTTATATGAACAGAAATTAAAGAATACAAACTTTTGCGAATTTTAATCTTACAATAACATTTTGTTTTACAAGTATTTTCCCAGTATTTTGCTCTAATCGGAAACATACAAGTATGTATATAGGATGTTTTTTGAAATCTTCAGCAGCCAATAAAGCTACCACATTTCTTTCACCAATAATGTCATGCCAGTTATATCTATTTTAAGTTATCTTAAACTTACAGGTTTTATCATAAACAGCAACAAGTTTTAGTCAGGTCGAAAACGAGCCGGATTTAACACTATGTTCCGAACAAAAATTTTACTCATTTTCGACTCTCTACCCGATGGTAGATGGGTCTAAACTTGTTACTGACACACCCAGTAAACTCATATTTAAACAAAGTAGACAGAAATTTTCAAATTTGATAGCACATGCAAATTAATAGGAAACACGGAGGTTTTATAGTAAAATCGTGTTTAACAATGAAGCTCATTTTTGCTTTAATAAATTTTTTAATAAACGAAATTGCGGCAAGAAAAATCCATATAACAATCACTTTGATATTATTTTAAATATGAGTTAAACATTCAGACACAAAATAAATACATATGTTTTGGAAATGGGTACAGTTAATATTAAACTGGATTATGATTTTCGTAGAGAAATGATAAGGTAACAAAAATTTATAAGGATACAAAATACTTACCATGCAACCGCTTCACTATATACAAATCCAGCTACTGCTCTGCGTACAACTTCAAAACATAAATCTGATCCTTCCATACTGCAAAAAATAAATTTTTAAATGCCATTAATAATTTTCAAATTTAAAAATTAAATTAATTTTAATATTCAAATTTATAGGCTAAAATTAGTAGAATTTGAAAATCAATGACTTTCATTCGTTTTAGTCCAAAAAGATTAATAGAAGAACTTGGATTCGATAACCAAACCTAAAAAAAATTTTAACTTTTTCATTTCCGATTACAAGTATATTGAGAAGACAGCCTCTCCCAATGTAGACAAACACAGTAAAATTAATTTTTTAAATTAATATTTTTATATAAACGCACTTTTCGGTAAAACTTGCTTTTCAATTTTGATCCTAATTGCAAAAAAAAAATTGAAAAGTTCTTATTTTTCAAACACTTTTTGTTTTTGTAAAAGTTAAGCGCATAAATTTTCCAAAAAATTCTTGCAATCAACATTAAGTAAAACTTTTTTGTATTTGGCATGAGCTCTTTGAATTTTTTTTTTTTGTTATACATGTATAACAAGTAAATATTTTTATGTATGCGTGTGTTTATTGAAAATTTAAAATAAAAATTCTGTGTTTTGACCATAGTAATTCTCGACTGTATTTATTATAAAAGAATAGAGAAAAAATCTTGTTTATATTGAGCACAAAAAAAGTTGTTTTTTGAAAAACTTCTTGATTTTTCATATTTTAATTGAAAAGTTTACTTTGTTTTAGTTGTAAATCATGCTCCAGTAAAATAACTTTCCAAATTATTAATTTATTTAAAACTTTGGCAACATTATTATAATATACAAAGTGTAAGAAATTTTGGAAAAGTAATTACTCCTTTTTGTATATATACATTTTCATGTACATTTCTATATATACAGAATTTTATACAGCGTGTTTCGCATTTATAAATTCCAAAAAATTTACTAAACAAATTCATGTGAATGTTAAGTTTGTGTGAATATAGTATGAAATATGCATTTTTCTCATGGATTTAAGCACATTTAACACGTTATACAAAACTATGAGGTAAGGGGAAAATGTTATACGGGTTAACTTTTAGATCTCATTGTGGCGCATCGAAAAAAATAATAAAAAAAATTTTTAACACAAATTTTCGAGAAAATTTCGAGATTTAAAAAAAAAAAAATATCAAAATAAAAACAAAAATTCTGATTTTGACGATCCTCTATCTGGAAAACTATGACACAAATTAAATTTATTGTAAGACAAAAATAAGGAACAATTAAATGCCTTGAAAATAAGCCCCCGATGGTTACTCTATGTCGCATCGCTCAATAGTTAAAAGCATTTATTTGTATGCTGGAAAAATCTGGAACTTTTTTTTTCAACTGGCTGTAGACCGAAGACAATTATATCTGCACCACCCCCTACTCATACAATGTTTTGCTGGAAATTGTTCAAAGAATCATTACTGAAATTATATGCCACCTTATGTGACACACCCTGTATACACATTTATAATATAATTGATCATCTAATAGAAAATTTCATAAATTTATATAATTCTTCCCTTTAAATTTCCAAATTTCTCTTGAAAATCTAACGTACTGTGTCCAAGTTAAAAATAAAACAAATTAAAACTTACTTTATATTTCACATTTCAATCTGACTTACATAATATAAAAATTATGTCGGTATACTCTCTTAAGGCTATATGAGCCCAAAAATCAGAAAAAGAGTACATAGATAGGACAAATTTAAAGTCAATTTTAACAGAAATTAATGTTATAGATAAAAATATTAATGTAATCTGAAACAATAAAATTTTTCCGTAAATTTAATAAAAAAAAAAATCTTAAATTTAATATTAAATCTAAATGAAATATTTTTATCATAAGTAAGCAATAATGTTAATTTCAAAATCAATAATGATTTTTTGTCCAATTGTACTAGAAATTATGTTAGAAAAGCAAAAAAAAATGGAATTCCTAATCTATTTTGGTTTCCTATTATTTTTATATTTTTTTTTGTGCTATTCTTTCATGTACTATTCAAAGGGAAGTCTAATTTACAAAATTTTCTTATTACACTTCCTTTTTCATTTCTTATAATTTATGTATTATAAAAGGATATTATGATTATAAAAATTACACAGACCATAAGAGCATGAAAAAAAAAATATATAGAGAAAAATAACTTGTTAATCTTCAATCTTATTATTGTCAATACATACGAACGAAACAATTATAATAATAGCTATATTAATAAGAAATAAAATGAAAAAGAAAATGTAGCCCTAATATTCAGGATAAAGGATGTTAAAATAATGTAAATGATTGCAAAAGAAAAGAAAAGTAAAAATAATTATTTTTTGATTTTGATTCTCGCCATCTCGATATCATTGACAAAAATGTACAAATTACAAATTCTTTTTGTTGAACTTTAATATAATAATATGTTAGTATAATGTAGTTTACAAAGTGTTATATGGTATATGTATATAATAAATTTTCTATTTACATGCGGATGGTTTCAAATCAAGTTTTATTCCGAATTGATTCCTAACTATCCTTAAATTTAACGTAGTTCAATAATATTCCTGGTTGATGTTTCAAATTTTTTATGTAGCTGTAAATTATTACACTTATATGTAGTATAATAGATTAATAATTTAAAGAGTATTCTTAAAGTAACAAAAAATTTCCATGGAAAATATTGTGTGCATTCGAAGACTTAATTAAATATTTAATAAATTTGAATATTCAGGGTGGTTTAATTGCTTTAACAACTGTACTAAATGAGAATAGAAATCTTGAAATGCTTGTATAATAAACTATTGAAATATAATATATTTATAACATTCCATAACTGTACCATTCCACAAACCCTGGCTTGACCACAAACAAAAAATACAAATTATGTTAATTTAGTTCGCAAGGTTTTAAAAGGAAGTCGCTCCTGTCTTTGTGGAATAAATTAATTACTCACTGTAATTATCATAAACTTATTAATTTACGCCATTTCAAAATTCCGTAAATTTTCACAATTCTGTAATTTAATACTCTAATTTTTAATTAGATAATAGTTCGCCTTGATTCAAATTCAACTCTCTATATACAATAACTCATACAATACTCACACAATAGCTCTAAGAAAATTCATTTATGTACACCTTGTACGTTATAAGTTAAAATTTAGAATTCATGTAATTTCGAAATTAAATTGTTATAATGTATAACAGCTACATTACATACAAATATTTGAAAAAACTCACAAAAAATAATAACTTTCGAAAAAAAAAAAAACAAAATTAAAAGGAAATAATTTTTTTCCTTTAATCTCTTTGAAATGGAAAAATATTTTCTTTTCCCCAATTTAAAAAAAAAATAACCAAGAACTTATCAACTGGTAAATTAATACAATTTTTTCTTTATATGTATGTATACGTGTACATACAGACATATTACGTGTAGTATTATGTCTTTCAATTTATTTATGTATGTATGTACATGTATATTGTAAGAAGTTACAAATTGTAGACTTACACTAAATAATAAATTATTATTTTAGGGAATATGTTTAACAGCGAACTAATTTATTAAAAGAAAATTTGGAATGACAAAGTAAAAAGCAATAAGTTAGAATTTTTTTTAATCATTTGTAAAAAGTCAATTTGAAAAATGAAAATTTTAAAAATATCTCTAGCAATACGAGTATTTCTAATATTATTAAAAAAGCGCACTAATTGCGAAGAGATACGACTTTAAATTTGAACTCCTAGCAAGATAATAAAAGGCAACACATAGTAAATAGCACAGGGAGATTTTACCAATGGCTTATCTTTATAATATAAAGAAATATTTTAGATAAGGTAAGGTAATATTAACTGACGGAAACTACAAGCAAGATATTGCAAAAGTCCAAAATACAAACTATATCTTTTACTGTTTTTTGCTTCTGTTTTCAATAGCTATATTTTACGGTAACACAAAAATCAAAATACATTAATTTAGTGATTTTACTCAGGGAATCCAAACCAGAAATTACGAAATTCATTCATTTTTATAAAATTCGGAATCCCGGGATCGGAATAAATTGAATTTCAGATTATTTGGATTTCTATCAGATCGTTCATATTTCAGATCGTTCGTTTCGTAATTAAATAATTTTAATAATATAATATTTATTATATAAGCCCACTTCAAAGCGTTTTGGGTAAGTGTTAGAGGATTTAAATATTTACAATAATCAATAGTCCTTTCTTGAGTTGGAATATTTTAAACAAAAATCAGGTCAAGCCTTAATGGTACCGATATTGGAAAATTTTTGTACGAGTATATTAGAAAAATCAGAATCACTTTTTTATGAACTTTTAGTTTAAAATATTCCCGTAGCAGAAAAATCAGAATACCTTTTAACACCTTTAAACAGACAAATGGGCATAATACCATAATTTATTACATTTTTATAATGTCCTTTTCGCAATGTTTTGAAAAATAAGTAAAAAATAGACACGAACAAAATACGAAATGAATTCTTTATAAAAGAAACGTCTTTTATGTTCAATATAACGGAAAATAAATAATTTTCATAATTTTCTTTTTACAACTGGCCTTCGTCAAAATTTTCATTATTAATACTATCGGCAAAAATTTCTAAATAATTTAATATTTTAGTTTGTAATATATGAATAATAAAAGAATGTACCAGTTAATTGGAATATTTTAGAAATTAAGATTATTACAAATGAATTTTTAGGTAACAAATATTTAAAAATGAAATTTTAGGATAGTTAAAGAAGTAGGTAAGCAAAAATAAATTATTAAAGCAGCCTGAAACTAAAAAAATGAAACTATTTTTAGAGCCCCCTCGAAATTTAAAGAGAATATATATTATATAAGCAAATGTATAGCTAATTCTGGGAAAAATTTCAATTTGTTATAAATGGTTCTTGTAATAATTAAAGCCTATTTTTGCACTAAATACGGTTAGTACCAATTTCTAGGTTTAGAAAAAGTAATTTTAATACTTGAATTATTCTACATATTACAACAGATAATATTTTTAACGCA